AGCGCGCCGCATACCGCAAAAAGATTGCGGATGGCGAGGCGAAGTAAAGAGGAAAGGGAGAAGAAGGAGAGCAAGGAGTTCTGGCGGAAAGAGGGAAGAAAGAGGCAGTCTGTTGACGACTCGGGGGCCTCCAGGAAACGTAGAAAGTAGACCAGCCTGGTCCGGCTTGTAGATATACCAATTGCCAGAGAAAGCACTTCTGTATATTCACCTCTACAGTACTACATCTGATATTTTTGCTCCTTCCTGGGGCGATTTCCCCTGTTGTGCCTACGTTAGCTTGACACAAATCCTCGGTCAAGTGTTCACTAGTATCCAACAAAGAGTCGTCGGAAAAACAAGTACGCAGTCAAACCAGTTTCACAGTCACGCAACGCACCATTTACACCAACAATCCAGAGATAATCACAATCATGGCCTCAGCGCAGGCTGCTTGTGTTCCGAAGCCCCTTATCATTGACTCAATGTCCTTGTCCATTCGTCATTCTTGTTTAACTTTGTGCCCCCAATTCCGTGTGAAATGCAAACCTGTAAAACGGCCACAGCCGGGTGAAAGCAGTACCGGAACGCCGTTGTCCAACCCCGGACCCGTAACCATGTCTGATGCAGTATTCTCCTCGCCCGACCATCGTTACGTATTGTCGTATGTCGTGTTCGCTGTGGACCCACCGAGACTATGTCTCCTTCGAAGCAGCTCAAGGGCCCTCGCCAGGCTTCTTCGCGTTGCAGCTCACAATCTTGACCTTGTCCGCAGAGACCAGTTGCCCGCCATTATCGAGCTTGAATTGGACATTCTTGATGAGAAAGGTCCAGACTTCGTCACAGAAGCGGTACGTCGACAAGCTCCCCTGCACAGCCAGCGAGCGCAAAGCAGCGCCCCTCGTGGTTAGCTCCATGGTACTGCCCAATGTGCATCATCCGCCGCCTGCTCACCTTGAACGTCAGACGAGCCTTCACGTTCTTCTGAAGAGCCTCTGTGATGGCCTGATCAAAGTTGGCCAGGATTTTCATGGCCAACTGCGGGTAGATGCGCTCAGCGCTGATCAGATCGTCGAGCATGTCCATCAGCGCGAGGCCAATGCTGTCAGGCGGGGCGAACGGGTTAGTCAAGTAATAAAGACAACACCAACGTGTAGCATGGAGCTGTACCTGCTGCGCCTGTACAGTTCATAGAATGATTCGGGGTTAGAAGCCATCTTGACGATTGATTTGCGATCGTCGAAGGGTCTACCAAGGTGGCGTAGGTGGTGTTGGCGTGTGGAGGTTCCTGGTTGCTTGAATATCCGGGAGGTTGTAAACCCGATGACTCAGCAGACAGTTCCAGGCTGCCAAGCTCACAGAGCTGCACGTGATTGAATCGGCTCTAGTTCGGATGACATAACATCGAGTGCTTGTCCAAGGCAACCTCGTGAGAGCTTGCCGCAGCTTCAATCAGAGGCCTGACTGATTGACACGATACCGACGAAGACGCCCTCCTCAACATTACCGTATCGACGACGACCCGCCGAAATCCGATCAAAATGAGTCTCACCTATGGATTGGGAGGCATCGGGAGCTCCTTGCTCGTCGTGGGAGCCTGTACGTCCCCTCCGGCGTTGCGCAGCCCAGGAAAGGTCGCTAGGCTAATCTCTATAACCCAGACATGCTCTTCACGGGCTCCGGAGAGGCGTTCAACGTTGGCGCCTTCCTAGAATCGACATCGCCCTACTCTTGGGCCTCTCTTGGCGTTTCCCTTTGCATTGCCCTCTCCGTGGTTGGCGCCGCATGGTACGCGCTCACTCCCTCGATGCACACCCGTCGCAGATTCTACACCATCGGCGACCCGGTCTCAGCACCCGTACTAACCAGTGCGACTTGATAGGGGCATCTTCATCACCGGTTCCTCCATCCTCGGCGGTGGCGTCAAGGCCCCCCGCATCCGCACAAAGAACCTCATCTCGATCATCTTCTGCGAAGTCGTCGCCATCTACGGCGTCATCATGTCTATTGTGTTCTCTTCGAAGCTGAGCTACATCTCTGGCGCCGAACTGCACGACGGAAACAGCTATTACACGGGCTTCGCGCTTTTCTGGGCTGGCCTGACTGTAGGCATGTGCAACCTCATCTGTGGTGTCGCCGTTGGCATCAACGGCAGCAGTGCTGCCTTGGCAGATGCCGCGGACCCCAGCCTGTAAGTGGTTCTTCTCCGCCCTTTTCGGCGGATCAGATGCTAACAAGACCCAACGCGCAGTTTCGTCAAGATCCTCGTTGTCGAGATTTTTAGCTCCGTGCTGGGTCTTTTCGGCCTCATTGTCGGCCTTCTTGTTTCCAGCAAGGCGACCGAGTTTGGAGGCAAATAGACGAGAGATGGGCGAGAGACGGACCCGCTTCGAGGCTGTCCACAAGTCACAGAATCAACACCCACGAAAGGAGGCCAGAGAGGCCACGCAATGATATCAGGGGTTCCGCTCGATGGGCTCAGGCGGTATCGGGAGCAGCTAGCAGCAGCTTGCATCACGACAAAGGACGAGCGAGAACTTGGCCAGGCGTCACGGATAAAGGGCTGGGAGAGGACTTGTCTTATACTGTAACATCACTTTGTTAATGGACCTGTACACTCATGACTGGCTCTTTGCACCGCACTTCGAATGCTCGTTGTGAACACAACACATCAGGAACTGTCAAATGACTGTCGGAACACAAGGTGAATGGGGAATTTACGGGCAGTAGTGTCATAGCATTCCCATCTCAATGTAAGACCTAAGTGTCATTTATCAACATCAGACTCCTTCATACCTGCTGCCGAGTGGCGGAACTCGGCTGATACACTGTAAAGTTTCCTGCCCACCAGTCGTGACGTTGACCGAACTGTCCTCATCGTGCCTCTTCGTCTGTAATGAGGACCTAGGGGGCCCATGCAAGGAATGAACAACATTACGGCTGGCGTTCGATGTCTCCTTGAAACCCGCACGGGAGGCTTTCAGATATCGGCTTGTACACCACCCATCAACAGCGCATGCACCTGAGCCCCCTTCTTGAGAGGCCCGTTGCCCTTCGGCAGACATAGTAGAGCGTTGGCAGACCGAAGGCTGCCCACGCGCGAGCTTCGCTGTCCTCCTGTGCTATTGGCGTGCAGAATTCCGTCCTTCCCAATAGTGACGACAGCACGATGGTACTCGGGTCGCCCCTTGTCCAAGGCGAAATCATGGGCCAGCACCACGGGCACCTTGGACAGGCTCCTAGGTTCCACACCAGCCAGCTTGTGCAGTGCAGGCAGCACGAACAGATTGAAGGTCACAAGCGCGCTTGCAGGGTTTCCCGGCAAGGCGAAAACCGGCTTTGAGATTCTTTCGCCGGCGTTGGTCTTGACCGGAACAGTCGCAAATGTGGTCGGTTTACCGGGCTTCATGTCCACTCGGCCGAAATGGATGGTGCCGCCGAGAGATCGCTCAATGGTCGGCTTCAGCAGATCCAGCTCTCCCATAGACACACCACCTGTTGTGACTAGCAAGTCGACTTTACGCAGGGCCTCGCGCAGCGTCTCTTCCAGCGCACCAGGCCGATCGCGTGCGATCCCGAGGTCGATGGCTTCAAAGCCTCGCTCTTTGGCAGCCGCCAAAAGGGTGACGCGATTCGTGTCGCGGACTTCGCCGAGACGAAGCTCGCCTTCTCGGTCATGTTCGACAATCTCGTCGCCAGTGGACAAAACACCCACAACGGGCCTTCTGTAGGTCTTGATCGAGGCCACGCCAACGGCAGCCAAAAGGCAATCTCGCCGCCAATGCCAGAAATCTGTTCGCCCTTGCGGAGAATAGTGTCTGACCTCTTGATGTCGCTGCCGACTTCACGAATGTTCTCGCCAGGCTTCACTCCGTCTGCAAGAATCTCCACCTCCTTCTCCTCTTTGCCGTCATCTGTCTTAGTTTTGAGCAGAGTGTCCTCGACCATGATGACAGACGTGGCCCCGGGTGGCAGAGGAGCCCCCGTAGTGATGCGCGCAATTTCGCCCTCCTTGAGGGTGCCGATCTCGCTCGGGGCAGCATGCGACACCGCAGTCACCGGGTACACGCCTTTCATGTTACCGTCTTTGGGAACGATAACAGCATAGCCATCAACAATGCTGGCACGGAAAGCGGGCACGTTTTCGTTGGCCGTTACGTCTTCTGCCAACACTGCGTTGATGAGGCCAGCATCCACCTTGCGAGAAACGATGTCGGCTTCCGGCGTGAGCTGTTCAATGATAACCAGGGCGTCTTCTACCGCCAACATAGGGTAGGGCGACTCTCGATACCGTCGGGTAGGTCCCAGGCTCGGGTCGTTCGAAACTACCGGCTGGTTTCCGGTATGTCTGACCAAGCCGCCGTGACCGTGGTTGTGATTGTGACCATGGTCGTGGCTGTGGCTATGGCCATGACCGTGGTTATGAGAATGATTGTTTCCGTGAGACTGTGAGCTGGCTGATTGACCGGCACTGATACCTGCATCGGCTTCCAGCTTTTTGACGCCACCTGAGTGCAGGGCTCTGGAGTCTACGCCTGCAGCCTGAAGACAGGCATGTGGGAGCGTCCTCAGGATGGCCTGCAGATTCTCTTTGGCGCCCTTTGGCGAGCCTGGCAAAGTTACGATAACGGTGCTGTGCCTCACACCAGCGACGGGTCGAGACATCACGGCAACTGGAAGATTTCAGCTGGCTTTCATTTGCAAATCTCGATCTGTAGATATGCTTACAAGGTGTCACCGCCAGCGATGTGGCCAGCATGCCGTGGACTATGCCGGGAGCCTGTCTGTGCAGCAAAGCACCGACGGCCTGCACGGAGTCAGTCGATAGACGACATGGATAACCGTAAATGCAGAGACTTACCTCAGGTGTATGGTCCGTCACAGCGAAACCTGTCCCGCCAGTGGTTACGATGAGGTTGACAGCATCGGCACCGAGATCGGCCCAGAGCATGATCTGACGCTGAATTTGAGGGACATGGTCTGACACGATCTTGGTCTCGACGACCTCCCACTGGCTTCCACCTTCGGCTTCTATGACATCTCTCAGGACCAACTCGGATTTGTCTGAGGCTGGGTTCTTGGATGCCGTCGTTGATACAATCAAGATAGCAACCTTGAGAGGGGAAGTGGCCATGACTGAGGTAGCTGATGCGTCCAGCGAGCTAGGGGTCAAGGAGACTGCTTGGCTGATAAACTTGCACTTGTTTACCTTGGATTCGCAAGACTTCGACGCTCTCAGGGTGTGATATGATGGATCGGCTTCGCCCAGCACATGTGTGGAATCATGTTTGATGCACAAGTGTCTCGAGCTGAGGAATGGAGGTTGGTAAGTACGCACTGTGCTAGCACGGCATTTACGCCACCTATGAAAGTCAAGTAGCCGTCTTGGGCGGGATCGGTCTTCGGTGATAGTACTGTGCGGCTGTAATTAGTCGCCCCATATCGTCGCACATTGACACTTTACCTTTTACCAACCTACCTACCTAAGGTACCTCGGATGCCTTACCTAGAGCTCCCTTGACCTTGCGATCCCTCACCACTTTCATGTGCGATCGTTGTTCTGCGGCTTTCTGCGTTTTCGTGATATCCCCCACTGTGGTTGCACAGCATGCCGGGTGAAAAGAGCAAAGTCGTTCGCCGACGCAGCATTTCATCGTCTCATTGATGCCCCGAAGCTTTTCGCACCTCAGCAATACGTCATTTACCGCTGTGCTAACTCCTCACGGCCCCTTATTCGACGGATCAACAGACCTGTAGTAGATCAGCACGCTCAACAGAGCCCGGCATTCTCTCTCAGTCTGCTGTTCGCAGCCATCAGCTCTTTTCTTACCATCGCCAGCTGTTTCTCCTGCTTAGTCCGTCTGCCAATCTCCGCAGTCCACAGCTTACGATACGCCTCGACACTCAGGAGATCTTCTGCGTGAAGAGCTTGTCGCTCCATCTCGAGCTTGCGCGTCACCTGGCTAACAGTTTCTGCCAGACTGTCTGCGTGATCTCGACTTGCCTGATGAAGCGCTTCATCGTGCAGTTGTGCCATCTCGATGAGGCGCTGTGCATTGAGCTTCCTCTCGTGATCAAGTTGCTCTTTGTGTAGTCGTTCCCTCTGAATTTGCTCATCTCCTCGACGACATCTCTCTTGCTCGCGTTCGCGTTGACGGAGGCGCATCACCTCCGCAAGCTGCTGGTTGAGGCTTTCCACTTTACCAGCGAGATAGTTGAGAGACTGGTCCTCTGTTTTGCTTGGGATTAGGCACTCCTCGAGATTGCTAGGAGGGTCCGCTCCATCGAACACAGCACCTGGCACTGTCGAGGTCGCTGGCATATCTAAACCATCCAAGTGTACTGGATTGGAGTGTAGCGACTCCCATGCCTCACCAAGATTTACTCTGTTAATGCGCGGTTGTATCATTGAACTTGCTAGACAATCGCTGCCAGCAGCGATCGCGGTCACAGGCTGAGAACCCATCTCAGCAACGGGGTCGAGACGCGGACTCTGTGGCGCGTCAGCTGAGAGACGTGGTGGAAGCTGAGTTGTCTCGCCCGTGGTATCTCGTGGCACCATGTATGGGGCCAACGACGGTTGTTCCTGTGCATCAGTACCTTGTTGACAGATCGGGTCTTCTATTGTCGTAGATCCTGGCGAGGCTGGTGACATGAAGGGAGAGTACGGGTGAGGAACGAAGACCTCAACCCAGCTAGACTGTTGCACGGCACTTACGCCAGTAGGCCTCCTTCCTAACAGTCTGCGACATAATTGCTTGGTCTTCCCAAGCTTCAGGCAGACTCTCGTGCCAACAGCCTTCGGGCTGTACTTCGAGAGACGTGCCATCCGTTTCTCGCAGGTTTGGTGGCGCATTTCCCTTCAATCTCAGGATGTCAATCCTCAAAGGTCTGGAAACAGAGAAGTTCAAAAGAAAAATATCGGTTTAAATGCACATTCGCGATTCCGGAAGCTCGTCTGAGCGAGTCAAGTGCTCGGCATGGGTACATCAACCTAATGTGCAACCCTTTGTCTGTGCTCACGAACAAGAGCATTGTCTAGCATACAATCTGTATAGCAATAATCATCGTGCGGTTGGGTCATTGCATTAGCACAGCATGGCTGTTTTCCTTGATGCTTCTTTCTTCCTGCGTTTCTCCGAAGCAAATCGTTGAAATACGAACGCATGACTTGCGTGAGGTATCAGCCTGCCTTGATAAATTATTGGCATTCGCATCAGTCAAACCTACACTGCTGGAAGGCCTCGATAGTCGGCTATTCTCTTTCACGGTCTCACGAAAGCGGACGAAGCCAACAGCGATCGTTGCGGCACTTAGCAGTCAGTCGGTATCTTCTCCGCACGCGAGGCTGATCCATTGTGCTTACCACGTGGCACAGGTGTTGCGCTGCTGCTCGTAGGATGATGCAGGTGAGCAGAATTGATCGACGGGTCACCCACCCCGGATTCGCGATTTCCAGCAACCGCTGATTGTTCTCGTATTGTGAACTCCTTCATGCGGGTCGACCCGTTTAACGGTACTGGAGAACCTGCAACAAGTCCGGGGATTGCCGAGAGGCCGATATTCGCCGTGTTGCGTGTGCGTTGCCGAACAGGTGTGATCATCGGGGCCTTCTGCATGCCTACTGCGAAACTTGAGGTCAGCCATGAAACTTGTGACTGTAAAACCCGTGGTCCTACTCACTCCCGGACAACGTGTTTTGCCCTGCCCAAAGCTCATCGTTGACCACGAATTGAGTTGCTCCGCGGTTCTGGGGCGGTGGCATCTCTGACCTGTCAGAACCTCGGCTTTTGTGAAATTGGCTGAAGTCTGCTTGCTGTTCATAGAGAGCCTGTCGCGGGCTCCCTTTCTCGCGAGTGTCCGAGAAGACGTTCAGTTGTAGGTGAGAGTCCACTGCATCACAAGCCGCTGCCTGCATTTGCCCCATCTCTGCCTTTCTCTTGACCCTGTCGTAGAGTTCCTGGGTTTGTAATAGCCTACGGCTCTTGTCTTTGAACGCCTGGCCGAGCTCGTCATACTTTCGGCGCATTGCGTCGTTCTGTAGCGCCAAGTCTGCCATTAAACCGGTCAAATTTAGAACTGACATGGTCAACGGATGGGGGCGTACCCCTCAGCTGCCCCTGTATACTCTCGATCTCAGCGTTTGCCTCGTTCACCGTCTTGTCCAGATGCATATCGAGCGCTTTATACTTGTCGGTCAAGGTTTTCTCTAGATATTTCTGATACACACTGGCGATCGTCAGCAAGTGCAAAAGCTCGTACTCTGGCGTCCACCCACATCTCCTGGGTCGTTTGATAGGCCCAAAAGCTCAGTGCTCTACCAGCGCACTCCATGATAATGCTGGGACTCAGACCACTCAATACACTAGTCTTGTAATCCTCTGAAGGACTGAGGACAGCAATGACGGCGTCGTCTGGGTTGCCAAGGTTGCTGTTACAAGCAGGACAGCTACTGCGGCGTTCAGACTGGCCAGCGAGGCCGGAGCGTCCGGCGCAATTTATGCAGAATATGTGGCTGCGTGATTTCTGTTAGGACTGAAGAAAAGACCGACAATTTAGCATGTTCAAATACTCACCTGCATGTTGTCACCAGTGCTCGGTCTGTAATCTCCTGCCGGCACTTGAGGACGTTGCATTTCAGAGAGTGCTCCATCGTGTCGATTGGGCTGTGCCTTCTCGACGCTGGCTACCGTGAGTTTTCGCCGTCGCTGAAACGAAATGATCTGAATCTCCTCAGGTTGAGTGCCTCGTACCTAGCGCAGAGCGTACTATCGTCTTGGTGCCGATGCCATATCAATGACATGTGCGGCCCAGACGCAGATCGTGAATGGGTCTTTAATCGAGGTCATGAATGGTATCCTGTCTTGGGTTACGATTGCCAGCTTACTCAATTTCTCTTGAGCCAGGGCAGTCTCTAACCCGCGCGTATGGCAGGCACCACCGTACCGCCTGCCTCCTTATGTGGATATGTGGCTCTGGGACCAACATAGCAAATATTCATTCTGTTGCATACTCGATGAAAACTTTGCTTTACAGAGCTTATAGCAACTCGTCTTCGGGCTCGAACAGCATCGCCGTCGCCATTGGGTTTGTCGTTGATTTAGTCGCACATGTTCGGTGTCGCACAACCTTAGTGTACGCATCGCGCACCAACGAGCTGGCGTACAAAGTGACAGATTTCAATCGCTTCCGGGCGATTGGAACCGAGATACAAGTATGAAGCCGAACCAACGGCGACCATGCCCTGATATACTTTGACGGTTGGCCCTGCAGGACGTGTCGCAGTGTGTGGCGCACAGCAGCGTCATCCATGTGGCATGGTCACCGGTGCTCCCCTGGCCTTCATGCTATCTACACCGAGACCCAGAGACGGACGAAATTGGCCAAGAATCCCATGCCGGGTCGCTGCAAGATCGGCTATCGATGCATCAGCTTCAGGGAATACTAATGCTCGCGTCCATTCTACTACCTCTTCAGGCGCAGCATATGCTGCCGGCGAGTCATGGCTCGACAGCTACCGCTGTATTGGGTCAGCATCATACTTGAACTGACCGGTCGAACCAACGCACTGACAAAGTAGAGATCGAAAGGCCGACGAAAATTACTCGTCTTTGAGCATCGAGAGCTACGTGATTTATGCTTGGCTGTGTCGGTGAGCCGCCACACACCGTCGCGAGTTGGGAGGACCCCAGCGACTCTACAACAAGGCCAAAAGCCAGCTCGCCGATGATGGGCATCAATTCAGGTGACCTCATGGAACTTGGCACCCTAGGGCAGCAGCACAGCACAGCAGTGTTCACTGCGAAACCCTGCGACCCCGGATCGACGCGGGGCTCATTCATCTGCCAACCAGGAAGGGCAAGGGTGCCCTTGTTCAGTAGCAGCCCAGCTGCACCGCATCGGCCTTTGGCTCGCATCAATCGGTGTAATCTTATCAACAAGCATAGAACTGGCTGGCCGGATACAGCGTCACTGAACTGATCAGAGCAGTCAATCAGGGAGTCGGGAACGAAGGCCCGGCGCCCATGGAGATCTGCAATAGTATGTACCAAGTAAGCTAAATGTCTCGCCTGTACCACGTCAACCGAGAGTCTAACAAAATTGCGGGGAAGAGCCCATGCGATGTCAAGTCGTTTCACCACCGCTAATGACTCGGGGCACCAAAGATTGGAGAAACAACACTCCAACTGGGTGTCGCATTATCTGCTGACCTCTCGGGATGGTCTGAACCAGTCTTGGTCCTGTTCGATCACGTTCTCAAGGCGCCATAAACCCCGCACCCACCCTCCTTACCACGAGATGGTGTGTACCCCACACTGTCATCAAGGCTTGGTTGAGCGGAGCGCATCGCCATGGCTTGTGTGGCGCCTCTGGGAGTCTTGCGCTGAGATTCTTGGCGCTGAACAAAGGCAGTTCTATGCAAGACATCAGGAAATCTTGCCTCTGGATGATGGGGGTGTGGAGGCTTACGGCGCAGACGTAGGCCTGCTGGCTGATGCCGCGCGCAGATTCCCCCTTTGAGCCTCGCTCTGCGAATTTGCGGTTAAGACGCCCCTGGCTCGTGCCCCCGGTTGCATGTATTGCAGAGCTGGCATCGACCGGCAAGAAATCGTCGTGTGGTGGCACAGCATCGCCGGCAGGCGATGCACCTTCGAACCACGAGGTCAATAACGCCTCGCTGGTCGATGGACCGGATATCTAGACTCCCCCCGCCAAGGCCGCTCACACCCCCATCTCCAACCACTCTCGATCGAACATTCTTCCCCGCACTGGAACAGGCCGTCCCCTGATAGCAACCCGTTCCCCCTGCTGTGCCTGGCGACACCCCTGCCAGGGGTCAGTAGACAGTACTGGTACAAGCTCCACCTCCGAAATCATCTTCTGATCCACGCAGTTCTGCCACTCGAATCAGGTACCCGAGACTTTACGGGGAACACACTGTCTCCCCACCCCTCGCTACGGGCCGAAAACCCAAATTGCCTTTTCGACATGGCGCCGACCCAAGTGCCAGCTTTTGCCAGCCAATCGCGACTGCACCTGGCTCATGCCAACTCCCGTCTGGCCGCTACCAAACCTCGAGCTATCGTGGCCTCATTACTCACACAGGCCGCTCCTCTATGCTCGTCTACCCTGTCCGTACAGGCACCTACCGCACAAAGAGAGCAGCGTCGGCCGATCAGACAAGGTGAGAAGAGGACCACGTGAACCTGGGTAAAAGGATGAATACCCTGGGGAGGAGCCACACAACCACGCAATTCGCTACCACTCACTGCGACGACGCCCTCCTTCATCCTTGCTCTCTCGCTGTTGTGTAACAAATAATCACAAACTTGCTCCGGCCTTAGCGCCGGCCGGCTCAACAGGCCTTCTCGTTACTCGCACTACAAGTGCGGAAATTGGAGGGTTCTCTCTGGTCCATCCGTCATTGTCGCTCGAGGAAGTAAAATGGCGCGCCCGAGAATGCACCCAGACTCGCCTCGGTGTCAGATGTCATTGCATCCGAGCCTTCCAGACCGCCAGCTAGCCATGGTCGATACACATTCTTGTGACTTTTTCCCGTATCCTACAGTTCCATCGAGGCTGGAGAGATCGCTTGCCGTCGGGCGCCCGAAGTTGCTTTCTATTGTCAATAATGGCTACTTGCTCACTCATCGCCCACACCACCTTGCCGCTCCTGCATTGTCGCTCCCGCGCGAACGCAAACAGCGACTCGCGACAAAGTTTTTCTCCCTTGTTCCGCCCCCGACTCGTCACACACAGGCGTGGTTTTGATATGACATGGCAGGGCAGAATTCAAGACGAGGTGTGCACGCCACGGTCAGCCACGGGCGAAAATAGCGCGCAAGAAGCCCCTTGTTCCCTCTGTCGGAATTGCAGGACCGAGAACGGCGTCGCCAAGCGCTAGTGTGCCGAACACCAAGATGACGTCCCTGCTCAGGACGGCGCACGGCGCTTGCTGGGTGTCCCTCTTTTTTGCGCTTGTAAGGTACAGCTTCTCGTAGGCTGGCCTCTCGCCACAGACAGAGGTCTGATCTCATCACGGGCAAGGGCAAACGCAGGTGTTGCATGGAAATTTCTGATCTCTTTCGTCACTATCTACTCATCTGGGCCACGAGGCCTACGGAGCGTCTTTGCTCCCCCTTCAGCAGAAGCCGGACCATCATCTCGGGTTCTGGGGTATTCCGTTCCATCTCATATGCTGCGTCGTCATTTTTCTTCGTTCATACATACAACAAGGGTTGCGTGGTTCCTGCCACCCTCATCTCGGGCGCAACCATCGGGCCGTCGACCTGTTAGACGCCCGCGATTTTTTTCGCCCCCATCTCCACCTTTTGAAGGTGCCTGGCCTGATAGATGCATGACATGTCGTGTCGTACCGTGCTTAAAAAAAAAAAAGAGAAAGAGAGGAAAAAAAAATGAGGCGAGATCCACATGGATCATCAAAAGGTATGTGACAAGAAACAAAATTGTATGAACAGGGGTATTGCGCTGTACCACCACACTCTGGCGAGGAAAGGCAAGGCAATGCGGTGGCACAAGGAAATGGTATGTAGTGTAAGAGTGAGAGTTGGGGTGGGTGCATGTGTGGGACCTCTCGTAGCTGCCCTAGTGGACAAAGAAGCCACCGTCCATGGTCACTGCGGAAGCGGGAGTGCCAATCATGTTGTAGTCCATGTGCATCATCTGCTCGTTGACGCTGAAGCTGCCAAAGTCGACGCTGCCAGGTTGTTGCTGTTGGTGGTGCGGGTGGCTTTGGGCGTCAGTCGAGGAGTCTCCTGAGGCGCCGCCCCAGAACATTCCGTCGAGGTCCCAAAGACCTTGCTGATCGAGCATGCCCATCATACCCATGCCCTCTGGCTCCAAGCCGATAGGGGACATGCGAAGCTCCGCCTCGGCGGCCATGAGAATGCTGCCGTGTTCGTTGCTGCCCATGGCGTGAAGAACGGGGCTCTGGCTCTGGCTCTCGGAGCGCATGCTGGGCTGGCGTGAAGCCTCGTACATACGCCAGACCACCTCGCGGCTGCGGCGAGCAGAAAGGGACCAATCTTCCATGGCCTCAAGAAGGTCTAGAATTGTCTCGATCTGCTTGTGCCACTCGGATACGCGAGGGCTGTTCCACTGCCAGAAGACGCTGATTAGGGGTATCATGGCAGCTTGGTAAAGGAACCAGACTGCATTCCAGCCTGACATTTGGTTGCGAGTCCACTCGCGAGCAATATCCTCGATGGTTTGCTTGGCGAGCTCACGACAGGTCTCAATGGCAGCGATGTCCTGTTCCGCAACGTGGGCAAGCATGACGCCGCTGCTGGTGTTGCTGGCGAGGCTAAGAAGAACCGGACGGTGCAGCAGCATGCGGAGGTTCTGGTAGCGCCACTTCATGATGCATCGAGCAATATAGAGGGGTCTGCACACGGGTCTGTGGTGCGCAACAGCCACGGCAGGTTGGCATACCAGTTCACAAGCTGACCATCAATGTTGCACCGATCCTCCGTACGCAGAAGCGGCGAAATGGCGAGGAGGTCTTGAATTTCGTTGCAATCTTGCAGAATTTGATGTTCTCAATCAGGGGCAGAACACCCGCATGTTGGGCTGAGTCACGGGCCTTGTTGGTGGTTAGCCGATGAA